GCTAGTACCTTCACTGGTCACGCCCTTGTTCTCCTCAGAGTCGTTCCCCTGGGAAAGGAGAGGCCGAGGTTAGCACTGACCCAGAGTGGCCCCCAGCTTGGGACCTGAAGCTTCCCCCTCTCCTGCCAAGGCCACACGAGGCCGTGGGGTCACCCGACTTCTAGCCTCAGACCTCCGCCTGCAGGACTCACAGGGCTGCTGGGAAACTAGGGCAGAAGGATCCACACAGGGTGCCTGGCTCGGGGGGCAGAGCCCAAAGGAGCCTCCTGAACCCTGGCTCTCTCCTTCCAGTGCCCAGAGGGCTGGACAGAGCAGCCCCTGGTGGGGGGGTGGGGGGGTGGTGGGGTGATAGCCAGAGAGTGAGGTCATGCAGGCTTCTGTGGTCTGACCTTGGGTAGAAACTCTGTCTTGGCCTCTTACAGAAAGGCGACCCCAGCCTGTAAGTGCCTGGGCACATGGTCTGGTCTGGAGAGGGGTGACGGTGCCAGGGAGGAACCCTGAGAAGCTGACGGCCCTTCCCCTCTCGGGGGACAGCGGGAGAGACTGCCTGGGCGCCTGCCTTGTCACCTCCTCCTCATCTGTAAAGTGGGGTGTGGGTGGTGTCCCCCACCCGGTGGCTGGAGGTCTGCTGAGCTTCCTGCCTCAGAGCAGGCTTGGGGCTCTCAGCCTCCGTCTCCCCTCCCCTTGGGCCTCACACAGGGCAGGGGAGGCTCCTGCAGCTGCAAGGGCTGTGGACTCCAGGCCCCTCCAGAAGGGAAGTGCCCAGGGGGGTGCGTGGGTGGAGGAGAGGGGCACTGCAGCGCTGCCCTCCACCCCGGGCTGGACCGCTGCCTTCCGGGCGTGGGCCGGAGCCTCTCCTCAGGGGCCGACTCACCACATCAGTGGACAGCCACTGCTCGATGTCCGCCATGAGGCTGGCCTGGGTGACGGGGATCTGGAAGGAAGGGCAGGGGTGAGGCGGGGAGTACGGGGCCTCGGCCAGGTGAGAGCAGGCTTCAGCCGGGCCCTGACGCCGCCGCCGTGGGCAAGCGAGCGCCCTGGAGCAGACTGCTGTGAAAGGAGACCAGAGTCTCGCGACTGCTCCCCGACCTCCCTGCCCCAGAGGGGGGCCCGTCATGTGCTGGCCAGACCCCGCGTCACGGGGCACGGACCCGGAGCCAAGCGCTGCGGCCCCTGTGGCCGGACTGATGCTTCCCTGTACTTTGCTCCTGGAGTCACGTTCCGGCAGTCCAGCGAGAAGCCTCGCCACTGGCCGGGCGGCGGCAGAGGCTTCCTCACGCGCCTCTGAGAAAGTTGCACCCTGATCCAGACCGATGAAGTTGCTTCAACCCCTCAAGCGAGCAGAGATGAAGGGGTCTAATAATCGCCTCTGCGCTCCCACAGGAGACGCACCGCCTTGCCATGGCTACCTGCAGATGCCGTGGGGCCAGGGCCCGCTGCTCCTGTCACGCCTGCGTGGCTCTGTGGCCCCAGGCAGGCAGGTGGCACCCATGTCACTGCGCCGGCCTTCTCCCGACTCCCAGCTCCCTCGTGGGGTTTCCAACATGGAAGTCAGTGAGCGCTGTCCAGGGCCGTGTGTGCACCCAGCAGCCTCAGCTCCATGCCCTCGCAGCCGCCAAGGCCCCTGGGCGTCGCTTCCCACCACCTCGCCCTGCCCGGGCGCAGAGCCCTGAGCTGTCAGCGGCCACCTCTTCCGCCAGCCTCTTCTCAACTCTCCTCTCCCGATTCCCTGGCCCTGCTGTCTCTGTCGCCCAGGGAGCCATTCGGCCTGTCCACTTACTGGGACAGAAATGGTCCCGCCTGAAGAGCATTCAGAAGCTAATTTAGGCTGGCGTGTGGGTGCTTCTCCACACAATCAAGCCATTCGGCGGGACTAAGCGGGTGTCGGGGTCTGCCTCTGGTCCCCTCTGCCCACGCCCCTGCAGACACACGAGCTGTCTCCAGAGAGGCAGTGGCTGGTTCCCACTGGGCCACGCGCCCTCCACACGCCCTCCACACCCCTCTCCCGCATTCCATCACCAACCACCGTAGCGCTGCTTGTCCTAGCGGCTAAATGAGGAAACAGGCCCAGGTGAGTGACACACAGCGGGCCTGCTGTGGAGTGGCGGGGGGGCCAGGCTGCTGCAGCCCCATCTCGGAGTTAGTCGGCCCCAGCTGACCCCTCCTCACTGTGAGGGTCTGAGCAGAGAACCTCCCTTCTCTCACCAGCCGTCTCCGCCTCCGACAAAACAGGACTGAACTCATGGGCCGCCAAGGGCGCTGGAGAGCCAGGCGAGGGGGGCGGTGGCCGCGCAGGGCCGCACCCGCTGGCTTTCCTGCTGGGCAGGCCGGGGCCGGACCCTGTGCTTACCGCTCCGGTGCTCTGCTGCCGGGCGTCCAAGGCACCAGCCAGGCCGTCCGCGGCTTGGGGCGCTTCGTACTTTACCCTGCAACAGAGGCCACCACCACGTTAGCGGCCGCCATCCCGGGCCTGCAGGGCCTGCCAGCCGTGGTGAGGCTGGGGCTGCTCAGGCGGCGGGCAGCGAGGGAGGGCCGTGCTCTGCTCCTGGATCTGGGGTCAGACGAGTGGCCTGTAGGACCGGCGTGGGCAGGGCTGGAGAGGTGAGGAGCCCCTGGCCCCAGGCCAGCACGGCGCTCCCCAACATCCACCACGAGTTTGGCTGGAAGCGGCAGAGTAGCGCCCGGCTCCGAGGCCTAGAGAACCGCGTCTACGGACGCTTCTCTGAGGGGCTCCCGCTGCCTCGCTTGACAACGGTGGTTCTGTCAGCTGCTGCGGAGGGGGCCTCCAGGGAGGCTGACGAGGAGGGAAGATCGGGCTGTGCCTGACCCAGAGGAGTGCTCGTTTGGGGCTCAGGAGCAGCGCCACTGTATCAGCTCTAACATGCCCGGGGAAAGGTGGGTGAGGCAGGCCCAGCGCCAAGAGCCCAGAGCGGGGGGTGCACCTCACACTCACAGGGGCAGTCTGTTCTTTCCTGACGACCCCGCCCTTCTGCTCTTCTGTCTCTCACACCCACGTGGCCTTCCCGGCAAGCTGGGCTCCCCTGGGGCCATGCTTGTGGGCTGGGCACACTCCATGCAGGAAGCCGCAGGCCACAGGGGCTGCAGACCCGGGCCCCCGCCCCATATGGAGACAGCCCGAGAGGCCGGCGTCAGGCCTCAGAAGAGACAGAGGCCCCGGGAGAAGTGACGTGTCCCGGGACAGTGACGTGGGCGAAGATGAGGAAGAGGACCTGGTTTCCCGCAAAGCTGACAGCCTCTGGCTTTGGCTCACCCAGATGCCTGAGTCGCTCTCCTAGGTGTGACAGTGGAAGCACCTGGTCAGCCGGAGAGGCCAAAGTTGTGCCAGGTGTGTTTGGGGCTAGAAACCGAGGAGCGGATGGGCACTGGCTCTCGGTTGGTGTGAGGGCACTGGCACAAGCTGGAGGCATGTGTGGGCCAGATGCCAGGTTTACAGAGAAGGACTCAGGAGCCCGGTGGCCAGGCAGATGGGAGGCTAAAGCCTAGTCAGGTGAGCAGGGCTAAAGGCCCAGCTGATGCCTGACACAGGCTGGCTAGGCAGGAGAACAAAGGGCAGCGGAACTAGATACGAGGCACCCTCCTTCCCCGCTGGGCACTGCTGGGTGGAAGTCAGGTCTCGGGGTGGGCCTGCAGAACCCGTGACTGCAAGGGTGCGCGATGCCTTTCGGCACACCTGCCCCACCCCGACACCTCACCCTCCCAGCCTCTGAGCCTTCCCGCATACCGTTCCTCTAGCTGGAAACGGCCTTCCTGACCCCCCAGTTTGCTGTCCAGCTCTGTGCCCTCTGCTGCATTCACACCAACTCCCGTCCCTTCACGAGAGCTCACACACTGCACAGCTCCCAAGCCGGCTGCCCTGGAGCGCGGGCTCTGGCCTGCTTCCTCACGCCCCCAGTGAGTGCTGCAAGGCCAGCCTCGGCCAGGCTGGGCAGCCGGGCCAGGTGCCTGTGGCTCCTGGATGGCCGGTGTGCTGCCTGCTGGGCCTATGTGGGCAGCAACCCTGTGAGCTGCGCGTCCCAGCGGCCTCATTAGCGTCCACCAGCAGCAGCTCGTGTGTCCCAAACTCCATGGCAACCTGAGGCTCGGCTCCTGCGCTGCCAACCGCAGACTTTGCCCCAGACTGAAGGCATAGCTCGCAGTCCGAGGCTGGCGATGAACCTGTGCACCCGGGCCAGCCGCAACTGCCAGCTCTGACCTGGACTAGCTGATGTGGATGGAGGTCCTGGCCCTCTGGTGGCCCGCTGACAGCTGTCAGAGACACCAGAATGACCCCAGGGAGTTGGGTGCTTCTTGGCGGTAATGCTGGCTGCTCACAGCTCAGCCTGGGTCATCAGGACAGGGCTGACAGGACACCAAGCTGACAGCTTCCTTTGATAAGCCTGGGTGCGGTCAGGCCTGGGAAGCTGAGTCAGGGGGCAGGCCCCAATGGACACATGGCTGCTGAAGGCAGCACCCTGGAGTGGGCAGTCCCCAGGGAAGCACAGACCCAGCTCCAGTGCAGGGGCAGAGGCTGACCCAAGCCAGGAGACAGGGAGCTGCCTGCAATTAGAGGTGGCCCGGGGTACAGTGCACGGAGGCGGCGCTGGGCTGGAGACTTGTGCTCAGGAGCAGACAGGCCTGGGCTCCCAAGCCAGCGGGGCCCAAAATATGCTGTCTGGTGACAGGCAAACGACCCAGCTGCTGAGGCCTGCTTCCTCATCTGATCAGGTGACGTGAGGCTGGGACACGCCAGTGGTCCCCAGGGCCAGAGGGGCGGGGGGTGGGCAGTTGTCTGTCCTGAGGCCACAGGACTCTCTGACCCCACTGGATGGACTTTGGGGACCTGGAGGAGGCTGCTTCCCGACAGGGAGTCACCCAAACTGCAGGGCCAGGGTATAGCCACGCCACTCACTCTTTGCGTTGGTCAGCCAGCGAGCTGCCCCGGGTCAGCGCAAACATGTCAAATTCGTCTTCCAGTCGGCCAGAAGCCTCCAGGGACTGCAGGCCAGCCCTCACACTGCTGGAGCCCAGGTCTGTGGGGACAGAAAGGCCACATGAAGGGCCCACCCCTGTCGTCACACACTGAGCATGGCGCAGCTGCTCCCTGCCAGGCCCGGGTTTGTTCCGAGAAGCAACAGGGTGGAGTGGGGACAGGCCACCCCTGGCTGGGGGACGGTGGGCCCACCTTCTCTATGGTGGGGATCCAGCCTTCCTCCTGGGGCTGACGGCAGGATGAGAACAGGGAGAGCTGCCCGCTCCCCCTGGCAGAGAGAGGCCTGAGCAGCAGGAAGTGGTCGCACGCAGTGTAACTGAGTTTTCTGAGAGTGCAGCTGGGATTAGCGACTCAAATAGGATTAGTTATTTCCCAGGGCTGGGCACGGGGCAGGCAACTGATGACACTGAAGCTAATCGCAGGGACGAGAGGGTGGCTGTGCGTGCACAGCGGGGCGCCGGGCTGAGACTGGCCCACCAGCGTCTCCAGCCCCGTGCCGCCCGGCGGGGGAGGCCCGCTCCTGCCATGCCAGCGAGGGGCAGAGGGGCGCAGGGCACTCAGGGCTGCCCAGCCCCACCCAGGTGATCCAGGCCCCGGGGAGCTCAGTGTTAAGGGGCAACCAGGGAGCCCTAAGGGGCTCAGGAGTTGTGGGCTGTGAGGAAGAGTCCCACTCTGAGTGCCCTGCTTCGCAGGGAGCCTCAGCTGGGGCGCTGGGGAGGAGACCAACGCTCTGCCGCTGGTGGTCCAGCTCCAACTGGCGGACAGGAGGGCGCAGGGGTGCCCACAGGCCCTAATGTGCCCTGGGCCAGGGTGCCGTGCTGCACTTACCCATTCCCGCCAGCTGGGAGGAGAGGCTGCCCGTGGCCTTGGGGTCAGGGCCCATGTCGATCAGGTCAGCTGCGCCCTCGGCCTCACCGGGAACCTGGAAGGCGAGATGCCGCTGTCATCCTCCCTGCTTCAGTCTCACCCCTCCAGCCCCGCGTGTCAGGCCCGTACCCGTGTTTAGAGCTGTCTCTAGGCCCCAGCAGCACATGGGGCTTCAGTGCTCTCACCCCCGGGAGGCTGGGCAGACCCTTGGGCATCGGCTCGTGCAGAGCCTGTTTACCTTAAAGGGACAGTGACAAAGTTAGAAGGGGACCCTCTCTGAGCCTGTTCAGGGTATCTGGGGTGGGCAGGGACCACACGTCCCCCCCCCCCCCCCCGACATTTCCACGACCAAGTCACAGAAAGAGGCCTTTACCTTGGCACTCTGGCCTGTCCGGAAGCGTTCAAACCTGCAAGACAGAACAGGGCTGCATTAAGGGGACAGACTAAGAGGCGCGGGCACAGCCCGGGGTCTCTCCACATGCGGGTCTCAGCACGAACTCGGTGCCCCACCGGGCTGACAGAGCACCCAGGGGACCCTGGAGAGATCCAGCTTATGTATGCTGCCGCCCCGGGGGACTGTGCACCCCGCAGATGGGCTGCCCATTAGATGGCTACTCTGGCCATGTCAGTACTAAACAAACAGGAACAGACTAGAACAGAAAACAGGAATGGAGGGGTGCCAGCGTCTGCACCCTCGGTACCCTATGGCGCAGGCACCACCCGAGTCTTGTTTTACAGGTGCTCTACCAGCACCTCTTCTCCCTTCTGCACGAGCACCTAAGAGCCCGTCTCAGCTCTGCCCAGATCCCGTAGGGCCACCTCCAAGGGGCCGCTCCCCTCCTCCCAGGGCACAACGACTGAGCCCACGCTTCTCCTGGGGAGCAGCTCTTAAACGGAATGAAGCCATGTGGGCATTCGCCGGTGGAGTCTCCCGGGCACACGGCCCCGAGTTCCTGCTCCCGGGACCCCTGAGCATCCTGTCAGTGCTGCCAGCTCGGGGCGCCTCACTGCTTTACTCTCCGTCGCCTCTGGAGCTACTCAATTATTAGGCGACTCGAACACATCTTTTTTTCTACGTAAGTTCTTCAGAAATGTTCTGTGTAACCTGCAAAAAGCCCTAACTCAGCTCAAGCGACCAGGCCCCGGTGACTGGCAGATGGGCTGCAGCAGCGCGCGCCACGAGGGGACACGCCAGGCCCTCTGCTGTGGCCAGGCCACCTTCACTGCCCTGGTGCTGGGCCGGCCGCAGGGTGCAGGGCTAGGAGAGAGGCGGTGCGCAGAGGAGGCTGGTGCTCACGCCCACACTGGGAGAAGAGCGCCGAGGGCACCACCTTGGGTGGCGGCCTCGCGTTTGTCAGGAAGGAGAGGGCGGTCAGGGGTGCGAACAGGACAGAGGGGAGGGAGAGGCGGGGCAGCGGTGAGGCCGGGGAGTGGGTGTGGGCTACCGTTCGTGGCGCAGGAACACGTTGTTGAGATTGTCGTTGACGATGAGCAACTCCTCTGTTAGCTGCTCGTTGGCGATCCGGGGGATGAGCTCCAGGACTCGCTGCTGCATGGCGCGGCACGTCCGGTGGAGCTCCTGCGGGAGGAGGAAGTGAGCCACCAGTCTCTGGGGCCCAGCGAGTCCTTCTCCAAAGGGTGGGCTCTGGCCTCAGCCCAAACTGCATTTCCAGGCCTCTAGGAGAGCTTTTGGGGTTCTATAAAAGCATCTGCATTTCGCTCCTATGTGTTCCCATCGACACTTAACACACAGGAGCGGCCAACACGCTGAGTGCTGCCGGGTTCACTCAGCTCTGCGCAGACTCCAGAACGGAGTCTGGCTGCTATCGTGGCTTAGCTGGAAATCAGGCTGCAAGATGGCTGAACAAACCCCACTTCCGGGTGTCATGGGGGGCTCCTGCAACTTTGTAAGCACAAGAAATGTCTACATGACTCCGACTACTACCCACAAGTCCCTGAAAATTACTATTCTAATTTCTTTAATGCCTTTTACTTTGGAGCAATCTGAGATTTTAAAAAACGTTGCCGAGACAGTGCAGAGAGTTCCTGCAAACCGCTCACCAGTGTCTCTCTGGCCTGGCGTAGTTCAAATGAACACGTCACACTGGTCCAACATCGCTATCCTGCTGACTGAACGGGAAGCCCCGGCCCGCACCGCGCAGCCAAGTACAGACACCGCTCAGTTTCAGCGGGTTTCCACTTAGAGCCCTTGTCGGAGCCCATCCGGGAGGCCATGTGGTGTCAGGAAGTGTTACAGGCTGGAACTTGTTTGGAGGGGTGCCGGCCTAATCATTTTCATTAGTAAGTCTAAGCGTTAGCTGGAGAGGTGCCTGGTCACGGCCCTGAGGTCCAGACAGCGGTCAGCCAACTGCGCCTGATGACCACACACTCCTCCCGGTGCTGTCCTCAGTTCTGGTTCTTGTTGGGACCTTGTCACCCCTTGGGGGCCCAGCTTTCTTGGTGCTCTGGGGAACTGACCTCCATGGAAAGGGAGCTGCCCCCACAAACACCCCTTCTGCTCCAGTCCCCCCAACCCACAGAGGGCATGGGACTGTGGAAATACTGCCCGGCACACAGGAGTGCACGCCCACAGCTCTGCCACCTCGGAGCCCCAGAACAGCTGTTCCTTCATCACAATGCCACAGGCTCTCTCTTGGGTCAGCCCATCGCCCCACCCCTCAGCTTTTCCTCAGCACAGTTTACTGGGAGCTGCTCTAGACTAGGCACAGGGAGGGGTGGTGGCCATGTTAGCTTTCCTGTCAAACTGGCAGGAAACAGGCACAAGAGGCTGTTTTGTTAGGTCCTGGACCCCAGTCTGACAGAGTCCCAAGTCCCTGGTTTTACCAGCTCCCGCCTGGACTGGAGTTTAGGGAACCGGGACAAACTGTGGCGTGAGCGGGGAACAAAGAGTCACCTGCGGGGTGGATGGCTCACCTGTAGCAGCTCGAGGTCTGCAGGCTCCGCCTGGGTGGGCACCAGCTCTGTCAGCATCTCAGACATCACCCGCACGTTCCCACTCACCATCTCCAGCTCGCTGCGCAGCTTCCCGATCTGAAACGACCCCCAGCCCTGTGAGACCGGAGCCAGTGCCGCCCACAGGGACGGGGCCCAAGGGCACCAAGGAGTGACCTGCCTCTAAGCTCACTCTAGGGGCACTAAAAGGCCAGGTCGGTCTCCCCTAGGCCCCCAGGACCCCCCTCTCAGGGGTAATACCGACCGTTACCATCTTCAAACAGGGGAGTCTGGTGTAGGGTGAGGCCAGAAGGGAAGAAGCTGAGGGTGAATGAAGCACAGGCCTGGAAGGGATGATCCAGCTAACGAGGCCCTGGAGGACAGCCCCTGGGGGTGGGGCCGCTTTGCTTCCCTCCTAGATAACAGGTAATTATCCTCTTCCCTCCTAGAATATGGAATTTCACCCTCTTCTAGAATACGATTCACGCTCTCCCGTCTCAGGGATGGGCTTTATCTGGCTCCAGAGGTCTGTTCCAGGCTTTTCCGAGGTTGAGTCTCAGCGCTGCCCCACATTGAGTATAACTCAGATTTGGGATTAAAAGGATGCTAGCAGGCTTTCCGCAATGGAAGCTTCCAGGTCTGGCTTAGGGCATCACTGTCTGTTCACACAGTGAGGTGGGGAGGCCACTGGTCAGGCCATGCTGTGGGCTCTGCAGGGGTTCAATCCCCCTCTGAACGCTGTGTCCCCTGGGAACATCCAGAAAGCTCCCAAAATGGATCTGAAAAGTCCTTGTATCATGGAATAGTGCTGGCACATTCTAAATCATGCGACCTAGTTGATTTCAGAAGTCACTTCACTATGTAAATTCCTGTTCCTGTCACAGTGGCTACCATCTGTGACCACCAACCGGGGCCAAGCACTTACTGTATCCTACTAATTTCCCTCTCCAAGAGCCTTCCGAGGTGGGCAGCGCTACCCCACTACCCCAGGTATGAGGGTGACAGGGAGCTCAGACACAGCTGGCACACCCTCTGTGGGCCAGGGACACCTCCCCAGACCCACAAAACGTCAGTGCCTTTGTCTCACAGACACTCTAGATACATGAGTGGAAAAATTACTGCTCCCAAGCCCAGGTCCGACGGGACCTCATTATAAGGAGTCTGGGAGTTACATCACCGCCGGTCTAGAAGTAAGCATGCCCGCGACAGAGGCTGTGACGGGAAGCCGAGGTGAGATGCTGTGTTTAGCAAGAACCTTCCACCCACAGGTGTGATCGGTCTTACTTCGCACAGGTGCTAGACCAGGCAAACTCATTAAAATCATAACTCGCTCAGATAAATTCTGACACACAGGGAGATTTTTACAACTGTTTACGCATTTGTAATTATTTTAGCCAGACAGCAAAATTTTTCTAGGACTACTGAAACTTTAGGGGTGACCTCCTAACTCTGAGGGTGATTTTCTAACTCTAGGGGTGACCTCCTAACCCGAGGGGCGATTTCCTAACTTGCTACCAGCTCAGCAGTCTCGCCTCCAGGAGGCGGGCTGTGGAAGTGGCTGCTGTAATTTCTAAGCAATGCTGCACAAGAGGCCTGCAGGTGCACGCCCCCACTTAGCCGATGTGACGGGCCTCAAGTTTGCAAACGGGCTCAAAAATAGGCACCCCACAGCCATGTCTGAGAGACTGGGTTGCCCCAACACCGGTGGCGGCTTTGCAGGTACCCCAGAGAGTGATGCCCCGACACGGCTGTGTCCCCCAGCCCAGGAAGGGGAAGCTGAGGGCTGGCGCTGGGCCAGATGCGCCTGGTGGAGAGGGGTCAGCCTGGCAAGGCGGCCAGCAGGCCTGGGCAGGCCGCTCCGGCCCATCCTCGTCATCTCCCACCACCCACACCGCTTTGGGGCTTCTCAGCGCCAGGGCTTTGAAAGCATTTTGTCTTGGGTAGATAATTTTCTAACTTTTTAGCCAGCTCCTCTGCTCAGACAAAATCTTACACGCGCTCAGAAGCGACTGCACAGGCGCAGGCGAGCCTCTGGGCTTGAGGGCCACACGCTGGGCGCTTCTCTCCTTGGTGCCCCGGAGCTCCATGGAGAAGGGTGTGGGGACGGCACGGGACGGGCCAGGCCTCTGTGGGCTCAGACTCTCTCAGGAGCTGTGTGGCTGGGCAGGTGACCTTGCCTCAGCCTCACCTCCAAGTGGAAGAACAGTGCCTGCCCGCAGGGCTGTGTGAGGCCATGGCAGAGCTCGGCCATGTACCGGCGTCACTGCTGACCCCCAGGGCTCCGCACAGCCAGGCCTGCAGGCGGCCACACCACAGCGCTTGTGTAAAGTCCTCCGTGACGTCTGCAGAGCCACACGGCCTCATGACCCACTTCCCGACACCCCGTGGCTGAGGGAGCGCGACTGCACCGACGGCCTGTGAGTGTGGGACAGGCCCGGCCCCTGCCCTGCCGCGGCTACCTGGCTGGCGGCTGGCTCACCTGCTCGGGGGTCGGCATGATGGATATGTCGCTGGGGAGAACGGCAGGGGCAGGCGGAGGGACGGCGTGCTGACTGGAGTCTCCTTGATGACTGGCATCGGTGCCCACTGAATTCTGTGCCGATGTTGTCTCTGAGCTGAACACAGTCTAGAGGGCCAAAACCAGGGACAGTGAGGCCAGATGGTCAGGCCAACAGGAAGTAGCTGCAGAAAGTCGTTTTGCTGGTTACTCCTCCTCCCCTCCACTGCTGCCCAACCGGCTGGGCATCCTCACCCTCTGGGGCGTGTGGATGGGTGACAGCATGTCCAGGTCGGTCATCGGGAACTCCAGGCCCTTCCTCCGCAGGTCCTCGTAGACAGTGACCACGCCTGTCAGATCGGGCGAGCTGCGGAACGCGTCAGCCCAGGACTGAGAGGGGACAAGGGACACAGCCAGTAACCACTCTCACTGCCGCCCCTGCAGCCACTGCCCCGCAGCACAAGTTCCCTTCCTCAGCTGCTGGTCCCCTGGCTACCTCACAGGGACAGCAAGGCCCACAGCTGACAAACACCCCCCCGCCAGGTCAGAGGATGGCCCCGCCCGAGACACCGGGAAGCGAACAGGGACGACAGCCTCCGGGCCCCGCACCTGGATGAGGTTGAGCACTTTGTCGTGCACGATGGTGGGGGGGTTGTTCTTGGGCAGGATGGTCCTCACCAGCACGCCCTCCACGAAGTCCTGGCTGGCCACCAGCACGTGGAAGCGGTGCCCACAATTCTTGACACAGGTTTCCAAGACCTGGGGGCCGTGAGCACCATCAGAGGGAGGGGGTGCCCACACCTCCACCTCGCAGCTGCTCATGTCTCAGAACGGCAGCCGCACAGAGGATGGGGGTTTCTGAGGCGACACCTCGCAACACCCAGAAGCAGGGACATCCCCAGGGTTCCGAACTTGTTGCCTGGGCAGAGGGACACACTAGGAGGAGGGGCCTGGCGAGGGACCCCAGTGCCCACTCAGTCCTGTCCGAATGCAGTTTCTGAGGAAGAGGGCGCTCCCGTGGAAACTAGAGTGAACTTTCTATCAAACGGTGGCCCTCCTGCTTGAGAAAAAGGCACTGACTGCCCCTTCCCACTCCTCACCCCCACCTCCCTGCAGGAGCGGCCTTTGCCTGTAAGTGTGTCTGGCTTCACCAGACGCAGATGTTGATGGGGCTGGACAGAGCACTCTCGTCCCCACTCCCAGGACAAAGCAGTGGGCAGCGAGGATGCCCACTCGGGCCCAGGCCTTCTGATATGGGTAAGGGCTTTCTCAGCTGCCGGCATCTGCTTTATACTCGTTTCTCAGGGAGTCCATGGGCCAGTCAACACCCAGTTCTCTCACACCTCCCCCAGAGATGCCGGGCTCACTGGACGTCGATGTCACCTGGCCCAGGCTTCCCAGGCCAGGAGGCCGGAGCAGTCTCTGCTGTCTTGGAAGAGGAGTCGCAGGGTGGCTGGGAGCCCGGCTGGGCCTGAGGGGAGGTCACTCTGGTCGACTGTGGTCCTGCCATGGACAGGCAGATGGGTGGAGAGACAGGGCACTCACCGTGAGAGCCAGCATCACCTCGTGGAAGTTCTTATTCCCTGCGATTCTCTTCTTCACTGCTCGGAAGGCATCTTTGGGACTGGGCAGAAAGACAGAGGGAAGGACGGGCTGAGGTGGGAAGTGGCTTGTCCCCTGCGGCAGCTGCCTGAGACGGGCGCCCCGGAGACTGGAAGTCTGGGTCACTGTCCTGTGCCATCCCTGTGCTGTGTGGTCAGGCGCTAACAGCCGGCTCTTCCTGCCCACCAATCCTGCCCTGCCGCCTAGCAGGGGTCTGCGATGGGTAGTCCCTGGAATTCCTGCGCCAGAACCCCTCTCGCGGAAGGTTTGTTTGTCAAAACTGTAGAACTCTGCCCCCCCCAACACCCCCTGAACCCAGCTCTCAAGGAGTCTGTGCACTTACTGCGACAGGCCGGCCCCCAACATGGCCACGTGCAGGCGGCACAAGCAGTGAGACGGGGCCCCGCTGCTGTGCCCCACCCCCTGGCCCAGTGCCCAGCACCAGAGGTGCCCAGATCCCCGGCGCCCATTCTGCCCACATAACACAATCCTCCAAGGCCAGGGAGCGACTTTCAGCCCGACGCCCCAGGCCTTCCCGGGGCTCCCTGAGGATCCGGCTCCTGCTCTCTCGGTGGCCTGGCCCGCTAGCCACCGCTGTCTCTACTGGACACAGGTGCCAGCACCCCCACCGCGTGGCCAGCCTGTGGCGCACGGCCGGAACATGGCGGGGACACAAGGTGCCCGCTGCCACGGCACTCTCCCGAGGCCTCGGTGTCCACACCTCCTGGGCTCTGCCCGCAGGCCAGCTGGGTCACCGTGGCGGGACCAGAGGACGAAGCGGATCCTGCTCCAAGTGCAGATCCTGGTGCGGGGCTCGGAGGCCTGGTCTGGCTGTCTCCCCACTGCTGGGCTCGCCGTCACGCCCCTCCCTCCCCCCTTCCCTGGCTTGTCGGGACAGTAAGCCACAGGCCCCTGTGCTCCCCCACAGCCTTGGATTTATGGAGGAGAATGTCAAAGACCTTGGCCTTTGAGGACTAAGGCCCAGGGGGTAAAGCAACCGTTCTTGCGTTCTTGCCTGGGTGGGGCTCAGCTGACCTGCGCGGCCCCTCCCAGCGCCGGGGCCTTACCCTTCCTCAGTCTCGTTGATGATGTCACAGATCTCCATGTTGAGGGCCCAGTCCTCGCTCTGCAGGGAGCCATCGGTAGCTTTCTCTGAGGAGAAGACACCACAATCACGAAGGTGGGAAGGGCCCCAGAGGGCCCCAAAAAGTAAGGTGGGGAAGTATAGTGAGGGGGGCAGGGAGGGGCGGGGAAGGAAGACAGTGCTGCTTTCTTGCTCAGGCACTATGGGAACGGTTTGACCGACACGGTCCTCTTGGGTCACTCAGTCCTCTAGTGCCAGGGGAGGCGGGGCGCCACGGGCCCTGGTGGCCGAGGCCCAGCGTGCCAGACGGGGCAGTGGGGACAGGACCGCGGGTCTGGCCTCAGACTGCTTGTTTTGGACATGACGATGCACAGACAGTGCTCATCCGTGCAGTTCCACAGTGGCAGGCGATGCACTGCACGCCACTGCCTCTGGAGATCAGAGAACACATTTGTGGTGCAGCGAGTGAGACCCTGTGCCCTGGCACTGACTCCTGACTGGCTCCAGGCATGGGGTGTTGGCACACCTGCTGGCACAGCCTCGCTGGCACAGCCTCTGGTCTGTCATCTGCCCAGAGTGCTGGGAGGACCAGGCACGAGACCTCACTAGCCCACGTGCTTGTAGAGCAGCCCGCTCCCTGTCCAGTGTCCACAGGATGGCTGAGTCTCGGGGTGAGGGGGGCTCCGAGGGGCAGGCTGACCCCCTGATCGCTGCAGTTACTGACGTGGGGCTGCGCCAGGCTCGAGGGTGGAGTGTGGCCCGTCCTTGGGAGCCCAGCGAAGCGGAGGCACGCTGCGCCCGGCCTGCCTGCGGGCAGTCTCCTGTGGGCAGTGCGCTCTTCCAGGCCGCAGGGTCCATCAGCAGGGCAACGCCCGGCTGGGCCGCAGCGTCGGCGCCCTCGGTTGGCTTCGGGAACTTCGGTGTCGAACTGGGCCAGACTCCTTGGGACTTGCCTTGGACCCTCCGGTCGGACAGAGGCCAGGGTGGTCGGGACACATGCCAGGCAGCCGAGGCCTCCAGGTATGGACCCGCAGCCGGGCAGGCTGGCAGGTGGGCTCCTCCCACGACAGGCTGAGGGAGCCTTCGCTATGCCGCTCTCCCCGCCCTTGGGACCCGCCTCCACTCAGCCACACAGCAGACAGAGCCACCACGCAAGCGCTCCCTGAGCAGAGGGGGCTGGGCCCTACTTTTCAGGGCTGGGGGAGGTGGCCGGCAGTGGCCAAGCAACTAAAAGAGCCCCAGTCACATGGGCTAAAATATCCATCGTCAGCCTCCTGCCACGGGAAGCCGCTGACGCCTGCGGATGCCGCTCTGGACTGAGTCGCCCAGCTCCCTGCCCTCCGCCACTGCCCGGCCGGCATCCCCTCCCCCTCACAGCTCCCCCTCGTCCCCACCAGCCGTCCTCTGTGCTGCCTGGCATGAACTTTCCAAAACTTGGAAGTGGCCATGCCCCTCCTGTGCCGGATGGGCCGCCTGGCCCCTGGCTGGCCCACACACCTTTCTGCAGTGACGAGATTGTCACCTCCCTGGTGGCAGAAACAGGCACCGTCACTTAGTGCAGAACTGACTTTGGTCCTCTTACTCGATGAGGTGTCCACTGTGGCCCGTCTCGCTCCTGAAGACGAGGCAGGGAGCGGGCACAGGCAGCGAGGTGGGAGCGTGGTGACCCCGCTGCCCAGTCTCTCTGCAGGCACCCTGCCCTCTCCTCCTGGCAAGCAAGCCTCTCGTCAGCTCCTCCCCTCACGACCTCCCAGAGACCCCTGAAATATGGGCCCTCCGGCTGGGGTGGAAGGGTTAGACCGTGGAGGAACAGCAATTGGGCTGCTCAGAGGCACCGGCATCTTCCTACGGCAGAGGAATGGCACCCCCGGGGACAAGGTGGGATGGGGGTCCCGGACACGGTCGATGCCAACCTGAGCAGCGCCACCAGAGGATTCAGGCTTTGGGGGAGCACGGATCAGGGCTGGTTTCAGTCAGCGTCAACAGAAAGGAGGGAGGCAGAAGAGACACAAGGGCCCGAGCAGCTGTGGCGGGAGGAGGCACACGGCCAGCTCCGGCAGTCACCCCCCGCCGGCTGCCCTCCCCCTGGGACGGACCAGCCCGCCGAGGCAGGGCTCCTCCAGCGCTTCACAGGGAGCGTGCGCCTCCATCGGGCGAGAATCCAGACCCACAGGAACCTGGAGATATTTGCTTGGGTTCTGTTTGAGCCGCAGCAACGCGGCGTGCTATTTCAGGAAGGGGAAGACAGCGCCGACAGCGGCTGCCGCGTCGAGCAGAATGAAAAGCGGCGTCTGCGCTGCTGGCGGCGCCCTGGCACGCCCAGGGCAGCAGTCTGCGGAGCCAGCCCGCACACTTTCACCTGCACGAGGCTGCAGGCCACGGCCGAGAGCTGGCAGTCCGGGGCCGGTCTGTGTCGCCGGGAGCCTGTCCTCTCTGCGCCGGTCTCGTGCAGACAGCCCACCCTGGGGGCCCCAGAGAGCTGGCCTGGCACGCTGGCAGCACAGCGCGTTGGCAGTGGCACGGTCTAAGGAGCAGGATGAGTCCCCACCCCCCGGCTAACTGGGACCCCAGGGGCTGAGGTCCAGGCCCTCGGAGTCACGTCCTCTCAGCACAGAGGGCTGCCTGCCTCATGAGACAGTTCTCAGCAGGCAGCAGCCGCCACGCACCGAGACTGGGACTCGGCTGACAGAGAGAGCGGTCACACAGACTCCAGCTCCAGCCCTGCGCCCTCCTGGGAGGGGTGGAGCTGGATGCTGATGTCCCCTCGGCCCCCACAGGCCTTTCTTCCTCAGTCGGGAGCAGGCCACAGAGGAGGGTGCTGATGCTGACCGCCTCACCACCTGCTCACTCCCCAGCCTCAGTGCGCACTGGGCACGGTCCTTGGCACCCCACGTCTCAGTCATCCCGACCGCACACCTGAGACAGAGGCTGGATAAACTGAGGACACAGAGAAGCCAGTGATCTGCCCAATGTCACAGCCTATAGGCTGCAGAGCAGATTCAAGCCCGAAGGCCCTGGTCCCTGTCCGCTCTCACCCTCCGTGGCTGTGCCCCTCCTAAGTGTCCCTCCTTTGTCCTGAGGGCCCCGAGAGTCATCAGTGACCAGGTCGCCCCGGGAGTTCACAGTCCAGTGGGAGGGCGCAGGACGCCACAGCACACAACCGTGCCCGCGGACAGGAGGGGCGCCCGGCTGGTGGAGAGGAGGCCCGGCTGCAGGCGCACTCTGTGCTCCAGGAAGCCCCTGCGCCCTCTGGGGGCGAGGAGTAGCCTCGCCGCTGGCACTCAGGGCTGCGCCTACCCCACCCCCCTACCCCCGGTCCCGCGTGGGTTGTTCCTGCTTCCTTAGTCGCCACTCCAAGTCCCCCTGGGCCCACCTGGCAGCTCTTCCTTGTGCCCACCAACCAGCCTGGCGCCGAGAGACATGGTCTGTGATGGCCCTGCCGACCCCAGCAGCCCCAGCCCCACCCTGGACCGGCCAGCCAGGGGCAGGTTAGTGTGCAGGACCAGGGGAGCACGTGGCTGAGCGACAGAAGAGCCAGGGTATGATGCACCAGCTCGGGCTCCCCAGGCCCTCTGAGGGTTCCTCTGCGAGCAACACCCCAACACAGGCTGCTTTAGGACCTCTGGGCCCACATTTACTGAATGCCTGTTTTCACCCTAGAAGCCACTGACTCACCCCCTCAGAGGAACCACAGTAGCCTTTGTAATTTCTTTCTAGTCTTAACTATCTTCAGACTTAAAAAAAAAAAAGGCCATCTGCAATTTAGTTTCTTAAGTGTGTGCTGGTACCGTGGCTACTGCTTGCTTGTTTTTAAGTCAGAATCCTACCGAGTACCTTTTAGAGACACACCGAAGCGTGCCTGAGTGCGACGGCATGATGCTTGGAGTGTGCCGTAAGCAGTGGCCGGCGTCTCCTCACCACGCCCTCCGCCCGCCCATGTCCTCCTGGCCCCTTCCCTGTGCTGCACCCCGCCATCTGATCTCCCTGCCACACGCTCCGGGCACCTACTGTGTGTCCACTCCCATGCCAGGTGCTAGAGGGCCATGAGGACCAGCCCTGCCCCGCAGGAGGAGCTCTGACAGCTGCAGGACGCGTCCAGACAAGGGAGGAGACCGAGGCCAGCTCAGTGCTGCGTGAGCCACAGGAAAGGGGTGGCCACCCACAGAGGGGTCCTGGAGGCTTCAGGGAGGAGGTGGCATCTGAGCTGAGTGTGCAGAGTTGCTAAGTCGGCGAGGGTGGGGAGGGACATTCTGCTGGGGGAATGGCTACCCAGGGGATGAATCAGTGATGAGTCACCGAGGATGATGGGAAGAGGGCTGTGGAGAAGGAAGCTGCAGCGGGAGGAAAGGCAGCGCTGAGGCGGGGACCGGCCCAGGAGCCTGGAGGAGGCAAAGGTCCAGAGGAGGAAGCAGGTTGCTCGGGAACAAATGCCCCGATCAGGACAGCCGCTCAGCCCTGTCCTGATCAGTCAGGCGGGGCCACAGCCAGACCTGGGGGGCAGGCTCATCCCAGCGGCCGCTGCCCTTCCTCCCTCTTCCTTATCTTCCCCACTGCCACTGCCAGGGCCTGGTTCTGACCCCTCTGGGCAGGAGACGGGCAGCTTCCCTCTGGGGCGCCCTCTGGCGCGGGAGAGGAAAGCCCTCGCCCTCTTTCTCCCGCCTGCCCCGCAAGCGTGGGAAAATGGTGCCATGAGCCTGGGCAGGGAATCAACATGCTAAGGATAGAGAAAGACAGGGCTGGGTGTCGAACGGACATCACTGAGCTGCCAACCGAGCCTGAAACTGCACCTCAGGCCGCGCGGGAAGCCACGCACCCACGCCAAGGCCCCCAGGCGACCGCGCCCCTCTGGGTACCGAATTCCAGCCGCCCTGGCTCCCCACAGGCCTGTGCTACAGGCAAGCTCTGCCTAGACCCCAAATGATGCCAGGTTTCCCCAAGGCTGGCTGGCAGGATGTGGTTGCCCCACTTCCTCTTCCCACCAGCTCAGGTCTGTGCCACCGTCTGGGCCTCCTTCCAGGAACGCTCCTCCCGCCGTGCCTCGCCGCCCGAACCCCTGCTGCTAAGTTCA